CCTTACAGATTCACTTCCAAGCTTCCTCCATACGGTCTATGGCAGGTACACTCTCCTGTGGTACCAAGAACAAAAAACACACCTCTGCCTCAAGACAGCTGAGCTGGGAAGACTGGCCATATTGTGCGTGGCTTGTGGAAAAATAACACTTGTGTATCCCAGGACTGAAATTACAGGTACCACCATCAACTCGGTTGTCATGCCAGAAGCCTGGGATTCTCCCCTGCTCTGCCATCTTCCCAAGTCACTAACTTCCATATCGCGAAGAAAACAGACACCAAGTCACAAACCTCTACCCCCTTATCATCTCTCAAATACATGAGGCATACCCTCCCCTTCACTTTTCCAAAGAGAGCTTAACCGCTTTAGCTTGGTTTGTGAGACTCTTTATGGTCAGGCCTCTGTCTCTCTGGCCCCCTCGCCTCCCATCTCTCTCCTCCTGCACGTGTCCTGCAGCCCGGCCACGCCTGATTTTGCACCATTCTCGGAGTGTGAGGTTCACAGTACCAGCTCTTGCCTGGAATGCCCCCTTCCGTGCCTTTCTTCCCTGAGCTATTCCTACTCCCCTGGGAGCTCAAGTGCGAAGCCATCTGACACCCATCCTAATGTAGAGATCTTGCCCTTTGGCTCCCACCAAACGCAGTCCAGAACACATCCTCAAACCAGAGACTCTATTCTGCTGCCATGATTTATTGTGAGTGCAGACCTTGTTTGAGCTGAACCTTCAAGTTACAAAGGGGACACGCAATGGGCATTCTGCATATATTGGTGTAATGAGCAACAACAACAATAAGAGTAAAATGAGTGGGCGGATGAGAGAGGCTGCTTCCTCCATCATTCCCTCCTTTGGCTGCTCACTGCTTTCGGCTGAAAAGGAGGCGTCGTTTGCTTTTTATCCTACACATCAGTGACGACTCCAGGAGTCACAGGGACTTGTCTGAAGTCTGGCTTCAGAGAGGGGACGGTGCCAACTGAAGCAAAGTCGCGAGCTCCCCGTCCTGGGGCTCGTCCTCCTTTCTGAGGCCGCACAGACCAAACCAGCAGTCAGGACTCTTCTTCCTCGCGGGGACTGTTAGGGGGACACCATTCCAGCGGCGACAAGGCTGCTAATATGGGCCCGTAAACATGCATTTAGGATGAACCGGGGAGGGAGGAGTCCTTCAGTTACAAAGATTTAGTCAAGGACTCCTCTGAAGCGTATGTTTCCTTCTTCACTGAGTCTGTGTGTGGCTCCTCTCGGCCTCGCAGTGGCCAGCACCCAGCGGAGTGCGGTGGCCTCAGGAGGCTCGGCCCCCCGCACGCTCTTCTGGCACCATCTTCCCGTGTGCTCCCCTTGCCCCTACTCTCAATGCTTCATCAGAAGCTCAGAGCTCCTCCAAAGGAAGAGGTCAGGTCAGATCAGGACGAGAGCTTCTCATGTCCGAGAAAGGGAGACGGGGCAGATACATCACCAAGAGTTATTTATTCTTCTTTTTCTGGCATTCAGCGACTGGCCTGCTCTTTGCCTTGGCCCACCTGCTGCCTCTGTGGGATCCTGGCGGGGCAGCCAGTGGGTAGCTGAAGGAGTACATGCACACTCGTCCTCCCAGCCCTGACAGGCACCAGCGAGGGAAAGTCTTCAAGAACAAGTTGAGCCAGCAGGAGGTGGGGGTGCTACAATGACTCAAGACGCTGGGGTAACTCCTATTCGTCCTTCAGATCTCAACTCAAACTTGGTTTCTCAAGGGAAAGCTTAAATTTACAGCAGCGTTAAGTCTATTGGTTCTCTCCTATCCCATTATTTCCTTCAGAGCATTTATCACATTTGCAATTACATTTTGTTTCTTAATATTTACACCTCCCCTCCCAGCGCAGATCCTTTCCCGAGGAAGGGGACTCTGTTCGGTTTACCAGTTTGACCATTTGAATCCTCAGTGCCCAGCTCTACCCTAGCACACTTTGGTTCTCATATTTTTTTGAATGGATGAATGAATCTTCCCAAATTTATCTAGTTTGCTCACCTTACATGTGAATTTACATTTTAACTGCCTAAATCTGTTTAACAAGGCTGCCTATAAAAGGTGTCCATTGAGACAGGCAAACTTCAAAGGCTCTGTGTGTGTGTGTACATGCATGCCCACTGCAAAGATGAGTATAGGGTGCTAGGAATAACAGATATAACTCATTCACTTTAAAACTTATTAAAATGCCACAAATGAAAGTGGGGTATTGGTAATGCTCACATTGGTCACTAATTTTTGTCTTATGTTCCTGATTAAGTAACATAATTCAGGAGAAATACCCAATATGTTTATATTTGTGTTAACACTAAATTTTCTCATTCATTACCTTATTATATTCTTATAATAAAGCCTACGAATTAGGAAAGGTAGATTGTACCAGTCCTGCTGACTTGCCCAATGTCACACAGTTTGAGATCTAGCAAGATTAAAATATAGCCCTTGTTATTCTGATGGCTAGCCAAGAAAGTGCTCAGCCTTGCACATAACACAGCACATTTATTCGGTTAAATGGATATTTTGCTTATGCTCAAGTTTTAGATGATTTCTGCTTGTAGGCCTTTTGTACACCCTGTGTTGAAAACAGCATCTAACATATAAAAAGTAAGGTTGCTAGACACAAGGCGAGTATTGAAAAGCCAGTTGTATCTTCCTATACCAGCAACAGCTAGAAAAGATTTATAAGACCTCTTCTGGGTAAAAAATTACACAACTTTATTGGAAGACATTAAAAAACACCTATATAAATGGAGAGAGATATTTTATGTTTGTGGGAAAGAATACTTAGTATCATAAAGATGTAATTCTTACCATTCAAGCTACAAACTAGATGCAGTTCCAATTAAAATACCACAGGTTTATCTTAGAACCCAACAATCTGATTCTGAAATTTATATGGAACAGAAAGAGCCCAGAATAGACAAGATACTCCTGAAGAAAAAAACACAGTTGGGGAGACACATCCTACCAGATACCAAGACTCATTTTAAAGCTATAGTAATTTAGACAGTCTGGCATTAGATCAGGGACAGACACATGGACTAATGGAAACCAAAGTGCCCAGAAACACCCACCACACATACAAGAAACTGGATATATGACCTGCAGATCAGAGGGGAGAGGATGGGTTCTTCAACAAATGGGGCTGGACCACTGGCTACTTTTCGAGGAAACAAAAATAAAAAACAGTGAAGTTTTTCACCACACAGAAAAACCAATTTCTTATGGATAAAGAATTGATCTATGAAAAGCAACATTCAAATACCTGGATCGATAGTATCCCTAACATTTCAGGGTACGGGAAAAGCATAAGCCATAAAGGAAAGTGTGATAATTAAACTATATTAGCTTCCATTAATAACTACATTCAATATACCAACAACTATATTGACCTATATCGAGAATAAAAGACAAACCACAAACCTGAAGATATTTGCAACACATAAAAATTAACAAAGGACTAGTAGGCAGAATCTATCAAGATCAGTAAGAACAAGAAAGTCAGATGTAATTTCGTATCAATCAGTTGGGCATAAATTAAAAAGTCAGAGGGGAGACGGTGCAACGGTGGGAGTCCTCACTTCCTGTGATGGAAAAGCCCTGGGCCTTATCACAAGCTGGAAGATGTGTATTCTGTGACCAGCCATGCCTGTGGGCTATTAACCAATCAGTGTACAGATCATTTTAAAAACAAAAAAAAAAACCAAAAAAACAGAACAAAAACAAAACAAAAAAACAATCTTGGTATATGTGCTATGCAATAAAACCTACCTTTTAAATACATACATAATTCTGAACATTTCTCATTTCACTAAGAATTCTTCAGCACAACTTTTAATGGCTATATTTTAGTGATCACAGGGAAGCAGCATTAAGGCATAACCAATCCCTACTGTGGGCCATTTAGATTTTTATACATACTAGTAAAAAATTTGAAACAATGTGAGAAATACTCTTGTAGGTAAGTCTTTGTATACATCTCTGATTATTTAAGATAAATTCTTAAAGTGGTTTAAATGTTAGGCGCACTTAATGTGGGTTTTGCCAAACTCTCCTCCAGGAAATGTTACTAGTTTATAAAGCTGCAGAGGAGTATCATTTTCCCTCTCACAAGCTACCCAACACTAGCTAAAAACATAAACTTTGCCAGATTTATAAGTGAAAACTTACACACTGAATTTTTAACTTGTATTGATTTAAACAATGAGGCTGAACATTTTTTATTTATTGTTCACTTAGCTTCCCTGTAGTTTACTGGATTAATCCTTTGCCCATTTCTCTACTTAAGTGCTTGAATTTTTTTTTATTCTTATGTTAATCCCCATACATTACATCATTAGTTTTAGATAAAGTGTTCCATGATTCATTGTTTGTGCATAACACCCAGTGCTCCATGCAGAACGTGCCCTCCTCAATACCCACCACCAAGGTGCTTGAATTTTTTGATGAGACAGAAGAGTTAGTGACAGATTCACGATATTGACTCCTTCTCTAACAGGTATATTGAACTTTGTCATTTTATCCTTTAAGTTTTAAATTTTTATATAGCCAAAGCAATCTTTTCCTTTATGGTTCATTCTCTGATATACAATTCTTCACGTATATTTTAAGGGAATTAACTCCTCTCCCCTTTGTGCCCCCTACAACAAAAATGCCTCATCTAAATGAAGGCAATGGCACCTTCCTCAAAGGGTCACTGTAAACGTTAATAAAGAGAACTTACACTGATGTACTTGTTAATAGTAAAACAACATAGAAATGTCAATTATTAGCAGTTCTCAATACACGGCGGTTATTAACATCACATGCCCATCGGTCAAGAGAGCTCATTAATTTTATGCAGGGAACGTGAGCAGAGGTGCTTGGGATAATGAAGTCTGAAGACTCAAATGGACCATAAGAGACACAGACACTGTGATGGAGAAGTACATTTCACGTCCGCCGGCAGGGTGAGGAGCTCGAACTGCCAGGACAGAGGCCCCAGACGATACGGACTCTTACCTTACTTAGTCTTCCCCTTCCTCCAACTCCGTTTCTTTGTGCACCACCACTCTGGTGACCGACATGTCCGGGTGCTGCTCTCGGGCTTCCCGGATGGCCTGGGCCAGCGCCTGCCAGGGTCAGGAGAGAGCGCTGTGAGCGGGGGAACAGGCTGCTTCTTGGGATGGCAAAACACACGCATGCTGCTCAACCGGGATTCCATCTCCAGCAAAGATGGTTTTATTGCTTTGAGGAAGCAGGGATTTGAAATGGGCTCACAGTTCATTTTAGAGAACGTTTCTCATTTCCCCCAATTCCCATTTTCCAGTCTTTTCAAATAATGGTGCATGCAGAAGAAATGCGCAGACTCTGAACCCCAGCCTTGTACCTGCCGCGAAACTTGGAGGTAACAGATCTTCTCTGACCCTGATCTTCTCCCCTGTAACCCGAGACCAATGCTAAGCTGTAAGGATCATTTTAAGGTTCGCTGTACCGTCTGGAGGGAGGATGTAAAGCATCCAGCCCAGCGCCTGTCCTGTACACTCACGGGGCACTTGCCGTCAACCCACTGCCTCAAACGCCCAGACGCAGGAGCAGGCCTTGCTCATCCCTACCCCGCAGACTCTCACTAACTGACCGAGGTAAAATGTTGGTTGAGCTGTTATGTTGCAGGAGAAAGATCTCTAAACTTCGAGGGCACAGAACAATAAAAACAGCCGCAGCAATGGTGACATACAATCAGCAAAGGGAAAGGAGAGAGATGACTCTTGAGCAAGTGCTGGTCTGTATTTTACAGGCAAAACCACTGGAGGTGCAAAGGTCAACAGGCGGTGCTCAAGGCCAAGCTGCTGCTAGGCTGTGGGCAGGAGCAGGACCCGGGGTCCCCTCCGCTGCCGCACAGGCTCTTCCCAGACCGGGCGATGAGGAGGCTGGCAAAGTTTCTACGTACAGGTGTTGTGACAAAGTGGAAAGAACCTATTTTTCTGAGGGGAAACAAGTTTAAAGATGTCTTGGGGAGAAAGTAAAACACCATGGAACATCATGCAAAGTCTAGGAAAGATGTCTAAGACAGAAAGGAAAGTTCTCGAGGAAACCACGCCTTTGAAAGCAGCAGCAGCAGAGGTTTTCCCGTGCCTCCGCCATCCGCTGGAGGGGACGACTGCACTTCTGACCACTGAACGGTTACTGAACAAAACCTGGGGCCTGAGTCCGCACACGCACAAAGGTAAAGCTACAGAAAAAGAGGTTTTACACCCCAAATTTTTACACAGAGCTTGGAAGACACTTGAGGGTGCTTAAATTTCCACTAGGGAACAAACTCTGGTGACCCACCAGTGTCAGGACCAGAGCGAACTCAAGCAGGGGACTCTCGCATTCGAGCAGCACAACTGTGGTGGGAGCAGGCGGGCTGGAGGGCGAGAGTGGGGTACGGAGAAGGGCGGCGTCTGATCCTGGAGGACGTCGGAAAGTGTTTCCAGGTGTGTTTGGTGGGGATGCGGATGGGAGCCAGAGTGCAGCAGACTGGCTCCACAATTGCGTGTGTTCAGAGGGAAGTGAGAGATCGGAACAGTCAAAACGGACTACTCCACTTCGGTTCGGGAATCCAGTTTGGGAAAGGGACAGCTCCGATAGGAGCCAAATGTAGCTACAGACGCCTTGTCAGATACTTTTTAATTCACGTTCATTACAAAGATCTGCCTACATTAAACCAGTACAAATGTTAAAGGGGAAATACAAATGATGCCCAAGGGAAGGGAACACATGTGAAACATGTTTTAATTAGCAGAAAAGTAGGGAAAACCAAAAACTGCTTAATCGTCTTCAAACACATTTGAAATCCGTGTACCATTAGTTCCATTCATTCTGTATTATCAGTACATGAAATTAAATACTGCAAAATGTTAATTTACGATGGCAAGAGTAAAGACTGTGAGAAAACTATCACATCCTCCTGACAAATTGAGAAGTTATTTTACTAGAAAGAAACACTCTGAGGAGTAACCGCAGTGTCCTACATCCCTGGTGTGGAGCTGAGCGTCAGGACGTACACAGGGTAAACGCCTGCAAAGCAAGGGTCTCTAAATGAACGATTCCTTTTTTCCTATCTTGCTCAGAGGAAGGGTTTCTTTCCACTATTAAAATTCTTTTAATACAGGGCAAGGAATTGAAAAGGGGGTCAATGATATTCAAGTCACTATGTGATCGGCTTCTGTTGTTGGCAGGGAAGGGATTTCCCTCTAATTTTAAATACTTCCACAGTCTCATTACAGGTCGTAAGGACAGAGGGAGCTTCATGAGCTCCCGGTGCAAGCATACCAGAAGCCACAATTAAACATACTCAAAAAAAGTTGATGCATCTTATAAGTAAACATGAAAAAGTTACAAAAACGTTAAATATCTCTTCTCTCATTTGGGTATCTGCCCTCGGTTTTAAAACAGGCTGAAGCACCACATCGCACAAACAAGGCCCTGTCCCTGCAGCCACAGGTAAAGCTACGGGTTTTTTCCTAACGTAAGAGTCAGGAATATGTGTTATTTTGGTACTTACATTTCAAAGTGTGTTTTCATTACTTGCTATTCAGAGGCAGTATTGTTACAACAGGCCCAAAGACAAGAGAATGCACATAAAACCTGAGAATAATCCTTGGAAGGAAAACATGGCATCAGAAAGCCAGAAAGTGCAAAGGTTCAGTGGAGGCTGGGAGAAGACCCCGATTTTCACTTTCCATCATGCCAAAGAATGTGGGCTCCCGCCTCTCACACCATAGGAATTCAATAAATGCTGGCTGGGCTAGAGTCCCAGCGGGGAAAAAAGAACAGAGTTTGCTCCAGCTTAGGTCAGAGGAGCTCGAAACTGTCCCAGCAGAGAAGAAATCCTCTCTACGGGGAGCTGGAGGCTTTGTTTCCACGGGGTCATTCATTTTCCCATGGCGAACACACAGGTACTGGTCAACTCCTAGGAATCTCAGAGTCAGGGCAACCCTTTAACCTCTGATAGCTCTCAAGGAATGAAAAAAATACATCAGGAAAGACGTAAGGAAAATCACATTTACAGGGGTTTACAAAATGTTGTTTTCTTTTTAGGCAGAGAAGAAAATCTACTTCTCTTTGGTCACACAGAGTGAGCTTTTTTTAAGTGAGAAGTTCTGTTCTCTAAAATTCTCTTTCCTGAGTTCGATGTTGTATTGAAAGCTGGGTAACCCTCATCTGTTCTGACTCCCCAGCTGAGATGGTCAATTGAACATTTCCTTTCCTTCAAGTTGTTATAAAAGAAAATAGCTTGGTGTCCTTTAAAGCGGAGTTAAAATCACTCAGAAAATGACAAAACAAAAAATTCATATCACTTGGGACCACAGCCTAAAATGAAAGCTACCCTCGGGGTAGTAGGTGGCTCAGTCAGTTAAACACCTGCCTTTGGCTCAGGTCATGATCCCAGGGTCCTGGGATCGAGCCCTGCATCGGGCTCCCTGCTTCTCCCTCTTCCTCTGCCCCTCCTCCTGCTTGTGAGCACACGCACTCTCTCTCACTCTCAAATAATCTTAAAAAACAATTAAACTAAAGCTACCCTCAAAGTCACCAGATGAGTTCCACTCATTACCTGGTTGTTAAAGTCACGCAGCCTGATCAAGTTAACATTAAAATGGAAGCACAATTCTTTTAAACATGTTTCTGAATCCATGTAAATTCTCTACTTTGTAAGAGACTTCAGATTTCCTTCTCCCACTCCTCAATAATAGTAATAATTAGGGGAAAACACCTAAGGGTAAAGAGCCCAATTTTTCTAATGTTATTAAAAAAAATACTTTATAAGTTCCTAAAAGTAGGCATAAGTCAAACTTAGAGACTTTTCTTAGTTTTTGGAAGCTAGTGTCATTAAACTGCCATTCATTTTTTAATCTATGACTTGCCTTTAAGCCAGGCCCACATGAATAACTAATGGTTGCCAGGAATCCTCTCGATTATTTGGATTCAAAAGTGCACGTGAAGCCAGTGGGAAATAAACAGCAATCCATGTTTTATGCTGGTTTGGCATTAGGAAGGCTGAAAGGACAGGCTGTGTCTAGGTTGGGAAGTGTCTCTGTGCCATGCTTAGGAGGTGGATTCATCCAAGAGGCACTGGGAGAAGGGGTCTGACCCGGGGATAGGACGTGACGACACATGCCCAACTTAGAGACATGGTCACTCTCAGAAGCAGAACTTCAGGTCTTTACCTGGTCATGATCGATGTCTGCATCTCCCGTGATCACGATGCGTTTCTCAATTCTTGTTTCAGATATTCCACCTTTCACAGTCTAAAGGTTATAAAGAAACGAAAGGGGGGAGACAGCAATCACTGACGCATGTGTATACTTAATGAGAGGAAATAGAAGGGAGCACATCTAGACCTTCTGGTCATTAAGGCAACGCACACTGAATGGAGAAGGCGGACATTCCAGACACTGTGTTTAAGCTCAGCAGAGATTCCTATTGATAAAGTTGTAGCACCCATAAGTCTTCCTCAACTGAAAGCAACTTTAAAGCTAATTTATCGAGATTCAAGGGAAATTAAGATGAGACAGATACCATTTAATCCAAATAGTTCTGTTGGGACATTCCATTACAATTTCCCGGAGTTTCTTTACTCCCAATTGGCCAATTTGTTAAAAGAGGAAAGAAGAAATAATTCTCTGGTTTATGTAGAGTTACAAGGAATTCTAACAATTTAGGTCCCTGGTTTAGGTTTGGGAATTGCTTGATGTCATAGTTTTGACTGCCTGATTCTCAGACAAATCCATAGGTTAATTTAGTTCATTTGGTTTAGGGCAATAAGATAAAAGAATCTGGCTTAAGATACAGAAGATACATGAGGGCGATATAAAGATTTGTGGTCAGTGATAACTTCTGTACATCACTGTGCCTGCTAACAAAGACCGCATGAGCAGACCGGGGACAGGAGCTCCGGCACGAACCACCACCCAGAGTCACTGGCTCGGAGCAAGCTGGCAGAGCCTGGGACATGACTGAGGCTGACGGGATCATACGGCTGTGACGCTGAACTACGAGCAAATAACACACAGTCCTGAGAAAGCACAGCTCTGATAAATTATACACTACGTCCCAAGTGATAGCACTTTACTGTAAGAGACCAGGTTTATCGCAAGCCTGGATAACTGGATAGCCCTTAAAATGAGCACCAATACCATCTTGCATTTACGTGGCATTTTTTTAATTCACAAAGTTTCTGGCTGAAATACAGGGTGAGGAGGGTATAAAGGATACATTTAAATCCTTCAAGCACTCACAAAATGTGAGAGATAGGAGTAAATCTGATGACAGCAGCATGCGTTCAGGATCACCTGGAGGGCTCCTACAACCACTCCCAGGGTTTTGGTAGATCTGGAGTGGGGCCATGGGACTCACACTTCGAACAAGTCCCAGGAAAGACTGCTACTGCTAGTCCGGGGACCATACTCTGAGAACCATTGGTCATCTGGTGTTAAAACTTTAGAGGATGAGAGAATGATCTGGAAAAATGCCCCATATCCAACATATGAGCATCTTGAACCAATGAAGGGAAAATTATATTACTTCGAAAATTCTGAATGATGGTCTTCATTCACTTGCTTCGGTTGGGAGGGTTCATTTGTACTTACCAAACTTATGCTTCTGCTTCTATTATACTCTCTCTCTCCTGTAGCTGGCTGATGTATGATCTATTTTTATCCCCTTGTACTTTACAAAAATACATTTGTCAATGGAGCCCAATTTCTTGGATACTTTAAGTCCGGGCATTTTTATTCCACTGGCATGGTCTATTACTTTGAAGCTTGTACAGGAACAAAGAAACAACTCAGAAAAGGTCCTGTTTGCAAGGTCTCACCCTGGATTGCTTTACCTTGGTGATATGCGTTGTTGTCGTTGTTGACACAGACTCAGATGTGATGGTTTGTGCCGTGAGTAACGTCCCCGAGTCACCACCGGCCCCGCCGTCAATCTTTGGATAGTTGGAGGAAAAATACAAAGTAATGCTTAATTTCCATTATGTTGTCAGAAAAGACCCCTCCCCGTCGAATATGCATCTTGTGAAATCTTCGAGGTCGGCAGAAGACGTTTTCTGCCCATCCTTTGCATGTTTGTAGCGGTGATTTACTGAGCAGGAGGTTGGCTGGCCTTTAAACAGAGTAAAGGCAAAGGCTAAATGCACGTGGAGAAGCAAACCTCCTGGGAGGGAGAAAAAAAAGGAAGAATCAAATAGAAAATGGGACTGAGAGCTACAAGGGTCATGAGACAGTTTGACCGAAGGCCTTTTGCAGAAGCTAGAAAAAGAAACTAGAGAACCAGACAGAGAAGTTTCCAGTGACCAGAAGTGCTGAGTTCATTGTTTTTTTAGCACAGGTGGTAAAAACAGATAAACATTTTCTCATTTACGAAGCCACAGAACATGACTAGGATAGACTAAACCTATGTGATTTGGTAATTTGCTTATCTCTAGTAGATTTTTTAAAATAACATTGTTCCTGTAATAGTTTGTTATGAGCATATATATGCGTACATAGATTTTAATATGTATGCATGCATGTGCTCTCTCTCTACATATATCATATATAAATCCCAGGTATATATCTAAATAGGTTTTGACTTGTTTGCTTTGATACTAAAAAAGGTAGAAAGTTGTAGAGTTTACCAGGGGAAATAGGAAACAAATTAATAGCCTAAGAGTACATGTGAAGATCACCAAACATACTTGTCTCCCATATTCTGACATTTTCACAAGGAAATAACCAGAAAGCCCAGAGCCTCTTGGACTAAGTTACGGGGAAACTTCTCTAAATTTGAGTCATGCACCTGTATTTCTTTACTAGGGCACTTACTATATACTACAGACACATGAGTACATGCTCTCCCACCACACCCATTCATAAGAAACCCGTTTTGGTTTATGCGGATCTATGCACACACATGGATAACATGTCTAAAATAATTTTGAGGAGTATTTAAACATACCCACATTAAACCTTTTAAAAAAGATTCTGAGAGAGGTCAATAATCTGCCACCCTCCACCATGGTACAATCCTACTAAAGAACACTAAATTTCTCAGATGAGAAAATAGTTGTGTAAATTTCTAAACAGCTCCATTTTGAAATAATGAACACTTTCCCCTTTTTTTATTACCCTTAAGGCTAGACATCTAAATGCATATTTCAAATCTTTACAGAATCAATGTCTGAATAATGTCTAAAATTAAACCCACAAATCTGATAATTATTTTGACACACAGTATATTTACATAAGATCGGCAACATGTCTTCAGAAAATAATCCCACGTGAAGGAGAAGCACAGAAGTGTGTGTGTGTGTGTCTGTGTGTACACTTGGCAAGCAAGAATGAGTTGACTGGATCTATCTGCATGGAGTTTGGGGGGTGGGGTGGAAGAGCCTAAATCTTACGAATCCACAAATTACAACAGATCCAATAAACTTTGTTTTTGTTTTTTTTTTCATAAAGATTTTATTTATTTATTTGAGAGAGAGAGAATGAGAGAGAGCACATGAGAGGGGGGAGGG